AAGAATCTGAGGTTATATTTGTCCCACTAATTGTTTAGCAGATGTCCAAGAAAGCAAACAGTGTTAACAAAACCCCTTAAATAATCTAAGCACAGACAGAGGTAAACAAGCAACACAATGGCTTGTTTTTCTGCCCGCTAAGTGACTTACAACTGCATACAAAAGGCTGTTTTCATTCTCCAAACTATAGCCTTATATAAACGTTTTAACTAGCAAAATATCCCCGGGAATCATGGTCTACTTATTTATTTTAATCCACTTTTATCCAATATTTTATCCAAATTGCTTTGAATAGCATCCTGGGTCACGTATCATTTTACTAGCTGAATACCCGTGCTCCGCTACAAAACTATGTGATCAGGCTTGATAAATCGACACTTTCAGCTTGAAAATTAATGAGTAGTTACAATAGGCCTCTCCTCTCCCCTTGTCTCCCTCAGCCTTGCCCCACAGAAACATCTATCCTATCCTCTTCTTTCCCTCAGGCTTGCCCCACAGAAGCTTCCCCTATCCTATAGCCTTCTCTCCCTCAGGGTTGCCACACAGAAGCCTCTCCTATTCTATCCCATTCTCTCCAGAGTTATTTTCAGGTTGGGAAGGGGAGTAGAACTTCTAACTAATTAGCATCAGAGCGTGTTAATAATAATATAAGAAATACTAATGATCTTATGGTCATTTCGAAAAATCCTTTCTTAGTGAGCACCTAGAAGCCAAGAGGAACATATGTGGCAAATTTCAAGTTTGTAGGCTTTACGGTTCTGGAGATTTCATGATTACGGTGTGAGTGGTTTTCGCTTTTATATATATAGATTCTAATAACAACCCAGTAATGCATGGGTGGGTTCCACTTACCTTTACTACCGTTTCGCAGTAGGAGCATGCGCGTGCGTGCAAGCTTCTGCACATGCATAGAAGCTTCTGCACATGCGCAGATCACCCATGATGACATCGTGGCAGGTGGGCAGAACGTCCTGTCGATTATACTATCGGTTCTATAGAACCAGACCGAATCGGGAGCAACCCACCACTGCAGTAAGGAAGTTATGCTGAAAGAAAGCGTTGGTCCAATGTGATTCCAGCGAGTTTCAAGCCCAGTGAAACTCATTTTATTCAGTTTACATCAATCATAATTCTTAATTCCAAGATCCTATGTTATAAGAAAATGTGTATTGGCATTTACCATTATGTAATTCATTATTATTGATATATGAAAACATAAACTCATACATTTTCTAATACGTATCCCTTTATTATATTTGATTATAGCTATTCATTATTATTGCTAATTATTTTTCTAAAGAGTCTAACAAAAAAGCTGAGTCCACTTCTATAATGTCTGCAGTTCAACCAGGACAGATGTCAATTTTATATATGATTGAAAACAAAGATCTCAAGATTTAGATACCATGTTTCTCAGAAAATAAGATTGAGTCTTATTTTCTTTTAGACTTGAAAATAAGCACCTGGCCTTATTTTCAAGGTGTTCTTACTTTTTTTAAGGTGCAGCAGGCCAGACTCAGTGAGTTGGACACACCATGTTGTACCATCACCTCCATTCCGAACCTGCAGCATTCGAATAGAGACTTTTTAGTGAAAGGGAGAAAAATAGGAAAGAGGATTTTCCTGCCTGTCATCCATTCCTCAAGCTCAGCACAGACTGAGGGAAGGATGGCAGGCAGGAAAATCCCCCTCCCCATTTTCCTCCTATTCGTCAAAAAGCTTCCTGCGAGCTTCCTAAAAGAGGGAAAAAGCAAAGCAGCTGGCCGTGGAGCTGCTGGCTTCAGGGAAGCGGCCCAATAAGCAGAAGGACTGGGTCCAGAAAGAGAAGGGCAAAAGAGGTATTTGCGCTGCCCCAAGGGGTCAGCGGGCTGCAGCTGCAGCCAGACAGGTGCCCCCCCCCCACGCCCGCGCTGCCACTTGTGCTGGCTACGCCCATCCCTTGGGCTTATTTTCAGGGTAGGAGTAATATTAGGCCCACCCCCCCAAAAATTAGAGTTGGGCTTATAATTGGGGTGGGTCATGTTTTTGGACAAACACGGTAGTAATAAATACTTCGGATGCAATGCAGAGGCTTGTTTTTAAAAATGAGCTTGGCTTTTAACTTAAACACCAGTGCTGTCCTCTTCCACATTTTCCTTCCCTTGAATTCAGCAATTTCATATCTCTTTTCATTGAGATAAACTTGATCTCTGCTTGATTTCCATTGCTTCCCAAACCACGGAAAATTACATTTGCAAGTTCAGTGTGTCTCATATAGTGAAAATGGGGAAGGAATCCTTGAAGGATAAAGATGAAGAAGTGTAATACCTGGAGGGTTTATAGTAAGAAATAATGAAGGGTTTTACATGCCATTAAGACAATAGCAAAGTAAATTCTAAGTAGGCTTCTCAGAGGAAAAGCATTCCTCAACTAAAATACCAATCTTAGCATTTGTTTTTGATAGCAATTTGCTTCACTTGGAATAACAAGGAAACCAAAAATAGCTTCAAGAGAAGATCTTAACCTATAGGTAATATACAGAGTGGATAAAATAATTTATTCCTAATTATATTTAAATGTTGTAGGTTATGTGATCGTATCATCCTATTCTGCTTCATATAGAACATTTCAGGCAACCTATCATCAGAGAATAATAAAAATGATACTGATCTCCATTACAGTATAAAACATGACAATTATCACTTGATGAATTTGATTACTTTGTATTTATAGACAAAGCCTGTAATGAGGTTTTTACTCATTACACCAGCCATAAAATACTTGTACTGTACTGCATAACTCTCAGTTAAGGACAAGAAGGATCCAGATTAAGCAATTCAAAAAACATCTGTATATTTGACAAGTTATTTCTGCCGTTCTATATAGAGGTTCAACTCTCAGAAAAATTATGTCTTGAGCAGGTGTAATCTTAAAAGCTTTCTTAACTGTTTTGAGAAAATCTCAGTAACTACTATATTCTAACTAAGAAACTTATTTTATAGGCTCTGTATAATAATTAAGGCATCAGACTAGAAATCAAGAGATTGAGTTCTAGTCCCACTTGAAGTATAAGGCCAACTGGTTGACATTGGGCCAGTCATTTTCTCTCAGCCCTAGGAAAGAGGCAATGGCAATCCACTTCTGAAAAATCTTACCAAGAAAACTGCAGGGACTTGGTCCAGGTTTCCGCAAATCATACACTGAATGGAAGAACTGGGATGTAGTTAAGCTTCGAGATAAATCTTAATTTTAATGGAGAATAAGAATGAACACTAAAATGGGATGTTGTTTCTGTTGTAACCTACTGTCAAACAGTTCATCAGAGTTGTTAGTAGGCTTGAGACTGGTATGCTCAGCTTGCTTGAAATTTTAGTTACAGTATGTAGCCATCTTAATTTCTGCAGGCATCTTTTTTAATTTTAATTAAAATTTTTACTTTACTTAAAAGCCCTTACTTTTTCATTCCCAAATAATCAAAATCTATTCCAAAAGCTGCTATTGTATTAGATGCCCCAACTATTTAAGCATTATCCTCATTATTAGTACTTCAAGTGATACTTCTGATTTGATTTTATCTAGTACTAAATGACATGTTCTTACTACTGAGGCATTCTCCACAATTTTCTCCACTACTAAAAGGCATCCATTTTTCTTCATTTAGCCTTTCAGATGCTCCAACATATATGTCACAGATGGGAATACCATAGCTTTGACAATATGTTCCTTTGTTAGCAGTGTGATGCCTCTTATAATGCTTTATATAGATTGTCATGGTCTTTCTCCAAAGAAGCAGACTTTTTAAATTTCATAGTCAGTCATAATTCCTACAGATATTTTAGCTATGAAGATGAAGTCTGTTATTTGGAGCTAGTATTGCCTGTTAGCATACTGCCTATTAGCATAAGCCTAAAGGTCAGCTCTGCATTTTACATATGACATAACTCAATTTTGCTACACTAGAATTAATAGAATCAGGTTTGTCTGAAAGGAAAAATTATAAACAGAGCTGGTCAAAATGACCAGGATATTTATTTAGGTTTGGGTTTATCATCTCTGAACATAAATATAAAACTGGCAACATAATTTTTATATCCACTTCACTGCATAGGCATAATTCTACCCCAAATGGGATATTCTTGTATCCCTTCTTAGAGGGCTGTAGCTTTTTGAAATCAAAATCAAATCAGATCAGTATTGCTTCTTAGAATTAAACAATTCTCAAAATATCCACACAGCATAATTACCTAGCATAGATTCAAGTATATATTTTTTTATTTCAGTCAGTGTTTGATCACATTCTACATGGCTTTCTTTTAACTATTTTTTTGGTCATATTTGAGGCTTTCTTTCATATCCTATGGTATTGTTCTTTAATAACCTACCAACTAATCAAGCAACTGGCATTAACTCCTTTGTGGACTTGTTCAGTCAGAGAACAAAATTGAGGGCACTTATAAATATAAGAATTTAGATATAAAGTAGTGGCATTATGAACAGATGGCTATGATAAACTCACAAGATGGTCTCTACGCCCAAAATATACATGTAATACAATGAACAATGCTTCCTGAATATAGTAGGTCTTATTTTTTATGAAAATCTGATAGAAACAGCATTGTATGGATTTATTATGGAGTCCAGTGATAATCTTAATAGTGTTATATTCCAAAAAGTGGGGCAGTAATATTAGATAGGGTAAAATTATATTTTAGAGATGGGCTTCATATTGTGTGTACAGATGATTCTCACTTTAAGGGCTGGGAAAAATTTGTCTAAAATTATGGAAAGCTATTAGCAGTCTTTAGACATCTCTATCAAAGATGGAGTAAGGTTCTGGACAAAAATTTGTAATAGGTAACATTGTCATTGCTGAAGATTCTGTGACATAAATGTGAGCTTTCTTAACTACTTTATTCAGATAATATATATGGATCTATAAATCCATATGCAGAGCTGATTCCTTAGAAAGACTATATATATTTCTCTGTGTTTAAATTTTCTTTTCCATCTTCCTCCCTCAGATATTTGAAAATGTAATCTGGAAATAACAATACAGAAAGTAGTACCAAATTAAAACACTGTCAACAGAAGCCAAACGTCTATATGGAAGATTCAGAGGAAAAGAAGAAGATGAAAAGGAGACAAACAAAAAGAAATTATGTAGCAGAGAAAGACACTATCCTAACAAGACCTGAAATAAACCAGGAACAAAAAAACAATTCCAAAAAGGGTGAAGACCTTTCTCGAGATGATCTTTTATTTCTTCTGAGTGTGCTAGAGGGGGAGTTACAGGCCAGTATATAATTCTAATTTCATTACAAATTCTTCTTTTTTCTTTTTGTCTGTTGTCCCTATACTGTTTGATTGCGTGGGAATGTCTAACAGACTCTAGGAATATGGAGGAGGAAGGAAGACCTTTACAGAAATGAAACAGATAATTAAAAAAAAAAAATAATAATCCAGAGATGCAGAAAACAGAGGGAAGCAACTCCATCTTAACATTTCAAATCTAAATTGAAATTTGGCAGGCTACCAAGTCAAGGCTTTTCAAACTAACAAAATCAGCAAACAAGAACTATTTGGAATTATGGCATAAACTTTATTGTTAATAGAGTACTGTAACAAAATTTTGAAAGTTTAGCAGAGCAGTTCTTCAGGTCAATTTATATGTAGTGCGATTAAGGCAGAATTGTGTTCCTCACATTCACCCTCCCCAGACTAAGGAATCTTTTCTGTAATGCAGGCAGTCCTCGACTTACAACCCTAATGGAGTTTACAGTTGTAGTCGTGACGTTCATAAAGTAGTTTTTACTATCTTTTTTGCAGTGGTTATTAAGCAAATTCTGCAGTTGTAAAGCAACCACTACAATTGATACGTGAACGCCGCAGTCTTTAAGTAAACTCATAGTTTGCTATGGGGCATTTTTTGCTAGCAGACATAAATGCTAGTTTTCAGCAAAAACAGCATAAATTGTGATCACATGACTGCATAAATACAGGTTGGTTGCTGACTGTAGATCAGAATTACACCATGAGTACATTTTGTGAGGGGGGGGGTTCTGTCATAACATCCAATAGCAGCTAAGCAAGCGCTCCCTCATTTATATCGTTTAATTCACCTATACAGTTCATTTATATTGTTTAGAATAAGACAGCTTCAAATAATAGCCTAAAGAAACATTTGTTTTTGTAAACTATACTAAAAAATAAGTGCAGTTTAGGATTTGAAATTAATTATATTTAATTACAAATTATTTTAATTTTTAATTTTTTTCATAGTTAAGAACATCAGTACTTTAATATATCTTTAATTTATAAATGTCTTCCTTGATCTCTTCGCTATAATGACACCAAACTAGAAGAAAAAAATAACCTGGGAATCTAAGGGTAAAAACCCGTAAGGTTTATCTGTGATTAGAAACCATGAAATATAATGATCAAATTCAACTTTCCTATATACAGATGAATATTACATATCAAGTACTTTTTGTATATCAAAATATTATACAAATATATCATAAAGTCAGCCAATATTACATTACAAAAGTTTTAAAAATATATCACACAAATGCTGAATATGAAAAATACACTGCTTTAAGAATAAAAGCACAGTGAATTTAAGTGAAATGTTTTTAATTACATTGATTATGACAAGATATGAATATTTACAATATCAACATAATTTGAAAAGCTTATATTTCTCTGAATCTGAAACTAGAATTAGATAAGTTTGCCTTAAGATATGGGAATGTGCTTTAATGACACTTTGCCATACCACATAACACTTATTCATTCAAATTGTATTACTGAAAATCTCTCTGGAAAGATGAGATGATAAACCCTTGATTAAAACAGTGCATCTTAATGTGTTCAGTTTGATAAAACAAAGGAAACACAAATATTTGTATAAATGTAGACATTTATAAAAGTCTAATTATGAAACCTCAGAACCAATATCTGAAAAATTCCTAAATATACTGCTTCCTTACAGTACACTTAAAAATACCAGTGCAGTGTCATGACATTTTATAAATAATGTTCATATTCCAGCTGTTTGTGCGATTCATTTTTAAAATCTATTTTTCCATTCTAATTTTTTTCTTTTTTCATAGATGAAAATACTGAAATCTGTTTACTTTTTTCCAGCTCTACCAATACTAAGCAGAGTCACATCAGAATAGGATAAACCAAGTTCATTTAGAAACATTTTTTTTTATTTTATTAATACAATAGGTGAAAATTCCCATATTCAGTTTTAAAGTTTTCAGATATGTTTACATTTCTTCTTGACATCCAGAAAAATACAATGAGATCATTAGACTTGAAACATGTAAAATATGCCAATACATTTTCTTGGATTTTCCAGATTGTATTCTCAATTTAATAGAAATATAAGAAATTGCCTTGCCATAAGAAAGTTAGGCTCGTTGTCAACTGCTTGATATTTTCTGCATATCTCTCCAGGGTATCAAGGAGAAAGTGTTTCATTCTTTTTAATTCGAACCCTTAGGACTGAACCAGGGGTGAAATGCTCCCAGTTTGGACCGGATCGCCCGATCCAGTAGCAATGGAGGTGCTACCGGAGAACCGGTAGCAAAAATCCCTGCCCCTCCCCATGCCCAGCTGAGCCACGCGATCATCAGAGGCTTTTTTTCTTTTAAATACCTCTGATGATCCAAGCTGAGTTGCCTGTTCGGGAGAGGCTTTTTAAAAAACCCTCTGCCGATCAGGCAACTCAGCTTGGATCGTCAGAGACATTTAAAAGAAAATGCCTTTGATGATCCAAGCTCTGACGATCCCAGCTGAGTTGCCTGATTGGCAGAGGGTTTTTAAAAAACCCTCTGACGATCAGGCAACTCAGCTGGGATCGTCAGAGCCTTTTGAAAGCATTTTTTTACAACCTCTTCGCCAAAGAGGTTGTAGAAAAAATGTTTTTAAAAGTAAAAAAAAAAAATTGGCCATGCCCACCCAGTCACATTACCCCCCCTCCAAGTCATGCCCACAGAACCGGTAGTAACAAATTTTAGATTTCACCACTGGACTGAACCCTGAGACATTCTGTATTAAACGCAGGTATTTTAAATACAGTATCATATTAAAAACTGAAGAAATATCTAAATATTGATACAAATAATCGGCACAGTATAAACCATAGAATGAGACTAGGAATAATTTCTATCCAAGTGGTTGAAAATCTATCCTCATTTAACAGATCACTGAAGGTTAGAATATTAGGACTTTATGTTAAAAGAAAACCAAATTTTGGAGGTAACATAAGACCATATAAAGAATGATAATCCAAAATGGTTTCATATTGTTGCTGTATGCACTTTCCAGTTGGAAGCATAATTATCTTTGTAGCAATTACCAAGAATAAAACTAGTCTAATATGCTTTCTGGGACTAAAAGGTTTATTCAATTTAAAAATAACAGGTTTGAAAGGAAATTCAACATTTGTAATTTGCTTCTGTGGTAGGAAATATTGCCCTCTGCGGGTTTGTTTGAATTAGAGACCAAGACACACTTATGTTGAAGCATATATTGATTTAATAGTAATTAAAGTAAATCAGAGGCAGAAAGGAATTATCTAAAGAGGGGCGGGGCTATAGAATTTCTCTATAGACATGCAAATAAACATTTTCATTTGATTGGACACATTAAGCTTACACTGAATCAGCATGAATTCAGTGATACATTCCAACTAGTAATTTGCATATTACAGATAGTGATTAGATCCAATTCACCATCTATAAAATATAGCTTAAATGGAATCACTTCTTGAACAACGGGGCTTTGTTTTAAACAAAGTTATCTCATTCTTGTGCCAAATTTGATATTTTCATTTCACCGTTATCTGAAAGATCTTGGTTCCCAGACCTAGCTACTACAATTCTTCACCCTGTAACACACTCCTAGTGTCTGGTTTGTGTTATTTCCATATAAAATTTTCATTATCTTATCATCACTTAGTTACTTTAGCTATAAACACCAGCTGACTTTTCTGACTGCTCAACAAAGACTGCTAAAAAATCTTCTATTTGTGACTAAGTTATTGCTTTCACTTTGGAGTAGCCCAGTCTAAATTCCCAGGCAAAAATTCTCCTTCAATCCATTCTACTATAAATCATTTTTCAAAATTGTTGAGCTTTACAAAATTTCCATCAAATATGAATGAGGTGGAATTTTAACTAAATATGATGTACTTGATTTTTAAAGGTAATTTCTTAGGATAGTTTTATTAAAGGTATTATTAGGGTTTGTCTGTGGCTTGAAGGTTCCAATTCATAATTCCACAAATCCAAGGTCCTAAAAATCTTTAATTATATTTGGAAAAAACATTGGCACAGATAACATACAGATAATCATAAACATACATGAGTCATTCTGTCAATTTTCAGGCCAATCTTGTTTTAAAGAACTGCCATTATTATGTGGTATTAGAATGTATGCTACAGAAGGACACATTCTCTGCACAGTATATTGCCTTAGTTGTGCTAATACATGTACATAACAATAGTAATAGGACTTTCTGGCTTAGTTTAAAACAACAACTGCTTTATTCTGGTTGGAACTATTCCAACTTTATTCCAATTGTAAAGTTGTTGAAAGGGGAATGACATGAAATACTGCCAAAGCTTCAAAGTACTTTTTTACTTTGCAAAACATATGGCTCATTAAGAAGGATGAGCTTGGTTAAGAATAGCAATAGCAATAGCATTTAGGTTTGTATACCACCCTATTGTACTTTATAACACTCTCTGGGCGGTTTACATTGTAAGTATTAATTTTAATTTATTTCCCCCAACAATCTATGACCTCATTTTACCAACCTCGGAAGGATGGAAGGCTGAGTCAACCTTGCGCCCATCAGAATCAAACTCCAGGGGATGGGCAGAGTTTGCCTGCAATACTGCACTTTAAGCAGTGAGCCACCAGAATCCCACATAAAATATGAGAAACGACAAAAAAGATACTGAAATTACTATTCATTTGCACACTTAATTACAACTGTCTTTTTTCCATTATTTCTTTAGAACTATTAAGCTTTGGAATAGGTGAAACCAAGGTTAGTGGCAAGAGTAGAAGTAAAAGAGTAAAGAATGTATTAAGGGAGATGGAGGGAAGGAACAAACCATTGCTTTATATAACTGCTGTTGTTTTAATCGCTTTTCCAAACATACAAGTACCAAATGAAATTTAAACAATGTTGAATAGACTTCAGGAAAAATGATCAGTTGTATAATGAGGTACTCTTAAAATTATGCAGCAAATGCAAGAAACAATACAGAATTGTTTCAAATAGCTCATATGCAGAGTTAACCTTATTGGAGTGATTTGTATTTCTGCAGGCTCAAGATGAAGTGATAGGAGTTTTAAAGGCTGAAAAAATTAACTTGGCTTTACTAGAAGGACAATATGGCTTTGTTACTCCAAAAAAAAGTCCTTGAGGCACTTCAACGAGATGCTATACAAACCAAAACTACATTATGGCAAGAGGATATCTATGAAAAACCCATGGGAGAGGTATGTATGATGCATGTTTAAACCAGGATGCAAGCATACAGGGATTAATCCTAGAATTCACTGAATAATTGATTTAACTAAAGAAGGGCAAGTGTCAACAAAGCAAAATATTGTTTTTCTGAACAGCATAAACAGTGAGTTCAGAACTTAAGGATCCCAGGCTTTAAATCTCTACTATGAACTGACATCTACTTTAATTGTGAATTTCAAAGATAATAAATTTAAATGCAGCTGTCAAAAGATAGAAAGTCTAGCCAATTAATGAATTCAACCCCTACTTTTGAATTAAGCCAGCACCTTAAACAAAACCAACAAACTAAGGGATCCTCTATAACTATTCCACATTGCTAAGACACTTGCCTCTGTTGCAATTTGACTGCCCTTTCCCCTTCCCTTGATATGTGACACACTTTATAAACAATTCATGTATAGTGTTATGCTTGGACCGGATGCATTTCTAGGCCTTAGGAGCTGGAAAATTTGGTAAACTGATTCAGCCAACTGGCATGTAGACTTCATTGCAGCAGCATCACAATCAAACTCTGTCTCTGTTTATACAAGTTAATTATTTTGGAATGGTAACCTTTGACCTTGTCAGATATTCAGTGTCAGCAGATCTTGCCCTAGCAAAATCAAGGGCTTATCCTAGGACAAATTATGTGTAAACAAGCAGGCTTAGGAGCCCTGGAATGTAATGTGTTCAGCAAACACACAATCACTTTAAAAAAAAGTTTTGGATAGTTACTTCTAGTTCTTTATTTCTATACATCAGAGTTACAGAACTTTTAACAAGCCATTTTTTAATATCTATGCATGTGCATTTGTTTGTCTATTTGTGTGTATATATATATATATGGGTGTATGCAACAGTACATGCCACAAAAACTCAAAAACTAAAAGAGATTTCGAATGACATGTAATAGACTGTACTAAAAAGGGCAAGGCATCATAGAAAAGATAAAGGAAGAAAAATGGATGTGGGATAAATAAAGGAAGAAAATATCAAGATTACTATGTAAGAGTTGTTTCGGATGAAAAGAGAATGCGAAGATGCTGCAGGGTTGGGAGGATTGACAGCCAATGTGAAGGGAAAGCGATATAGGATTGCAAATAAATTCCTGCAGATTTCAGATTATCCATTTATGATATTCCCAGAAAGATAAGGCCTCAGGCTTCTAGGTTTGATTTTCTATCCTGGGTAATTTCATAACTGCTTTGTTTGCTTGAAAGGGAAAATGTGGGATGTCTCCTATGCTTGGTAGAGAATGGTATTTTTATTTCCACAGGCAATAGGGCATTATATGCTTACAGTGGCAGTAACAATAAAAGCCTTCACTTCTGTTTAACTAGCTATTCAAAATTTCAATATTTTATTTAAAAATTTAATATTATGAATAAGATAGAAATTTGAAGAATCAGCATGGACAATTAAATAGCTGTACAATAATAAAATAATACCTATATTATCTAGTTCCAGCTTCATAGATATACCGTGTTTTCCCGAAAATACAACCTACTCAGAAAGAAAGTCCTAGCTTGATTTTTACATGTGCGCCCAATATAAGCCCTACCCCCAAAATAAGCCCTAATTAAGACGCCGCCCACTCTAGGTTTGTTGTTGTTGTTGTTAGTTGCGAAGTCGTGTCCGACCCATCACGACCCCATGGACATCATTCCTCCAGGCCTTCCTGTCCTCTACCATCCTCTGGAGTCCATTTAAGCTCACACCTACTGCTTCAGTAGGGGGTGGAGCTGCCCTACTACTTACCTTCGGACAGTTGCAGGCCTTGCACACCTCAGCCCATTTCTTCTGCAGCCAGTAAGGCTTTCCTGAAGGCCTCTGTAGCTGATAACAGAGCTCCGATCGATCCAGAACTCTGTTATCAGCTGCAGAGACCTTAAGGAAAGCTTTGCTGGCCGAAGAAGTTCCTGAAGGCCTCTGACAGACAAAAGGAGGCCAGGAGCAATGCACCTAAGTGAAGTGAGTCAGTAGATGACATTCCACCCCAAAAATAAGACCTGGTGCCTTTTTTGGTGGCAGAAAAAATATAAGACCTGATCTTATTTTCAGGGAAACACGGGTATAACTAGGTATGTGGTTCATTATAGCTCAACATAAACAATATTATGAACAAAATGTTGTCACTGAACATTTTCCAAGTTTGAGAAGAAACATTAGTAAATATTCAAAAAGATTTCACACTCAGATCTAAACCAACGTTAGCCAAAAAATCATGCCATAATGCTGTATTTATAATGTAAATACAATTGTATAATTAATGAATTTTCAAATTATAGTGAATATTAAGTCATAAAAAGTCTAAAATTCTTAGAAATAATCTATGGAATAGACATATTCCTCTCATTACAAATTCCAAACATAACTTGGACTTTTATCTTGGATAAGTTTTCCTCCTAATGCTCTATGGCAGCAAAAGAGTTTCTAACACTACTAGACTTGGCAATATTAACTGCGAAGAAAAAAATCAAAATGATATTGTTCTATTATATTTATTAAAGTTCAGGAAGTAGAAGAGTCTAAAAAATACCAGCCAGAACATTTCAAGAATCTATTCCAAAATTATAAAAACAATGTATTATTTATTTTGTTAATCATGTTAGATGTTTATCAAAAACAAGGAGCAACAGAAAGAATTACACCTGGAGTGCAGAAAAGAAGCAAGCTGCTAAGTAAATTCCTCACAATGATCTGATAATTTATTGTATGTCTGGATCTTATTATCATTGATATTTTAATAGCTGACATTACCTTAAATGATGCCAACAGCATGGGAGCTCTGGCAGTTGAGAATTACTAAATTAGAGTAATTCTATTTTAGTTCCAGTTCTCTGCCTGGGACAGCTATGAATTTCCAGTGACAAACATGTGTACCATTCTCTTCTCCTATAATGAAATACTAGCCGGGGCAAACAGATTATTTTTTAAATAATTAGAAAGTTCAGTTGGTGCCAGTTACCCAACAGCCTTGAAGATATTCAAAACCATTTTATAAAGACCGGGTCATTCCACATACACCTAGTATGTAAAACACTTTTCTTGGTTACAACGCATAGAGTCCACAAATTTATATTTATTTATATTAAAAAACAATGAACAGCAAATTTGTTTAGTCTAAATGTTTACCACTGTATAAAAGATGCTATAATAAAAGAAACTGAACTTCGTATAACAATAAGTCAAGTATGGGTAGATTTTCTATTTCAAAAATATATGCCACTGCAAAGATGAGAAGGGTTCCAAGACTGTCCAATGCTATTTTCAGCCAATAAAATGGAGACTTATTGAAACTAAATATTATGGATTTATTCCACATCAAATATAAGGGAAAATTGTAATTGACGAATTTCAAAAGTGTACTTTGTTTGTAGCTTTATTCAAAGATTATCAAATTAAAAAGTTAAGTCAGTATATGTATTGTATTCGTAGACCACCATACCCCAAGAAAATTTCTGGTAGTTCACAATGTACAAGTAAAAGAAATCAATGTTGTAAATAAAATATATACAATTAGCAAAGGAATCAAAATGCTTACAAAAACAAACAAAATAGCTCACTCTTAACTGTATTTCTAAATAGATGATAGAAAGTACCATGAAATCACCAAGGGGAAGTTATTCTAGAGTGATAGATCTGAACTAATAAACACTGGCTCTTGGACCACCCAAAATTTTGCCTCAGGGTGAAACCTTCAAAATCTTTAGAAGATGTAATATAGTCCTTCAGACACTTATACAGGATTTCATACGTTAAAAACAGCATTTTGAATTGCATTTACAATCCTATTTGTATCCAATGAAGATCCTAGAGCACAGGTGTTTTATGATCATAGTAAGTCTTTCTTGACATAAGGTAAGAGTGCATTTGCACTAAATATTAGCCCCCAGATTTTTTTTCAAATACAGTCTCATGTTCACCACATATGCTATAATACAGTATATTCTAAGGAATACAAGGAAATGTGTCCAAAATATATACAAAACGAACAACAGCACTACAGACATATCATATAAAGAAAAGAGCTGATGGAAATATAGGAAGTGTGTTGGTCTCTCTCTCTCTCTCTCTCTCTCTCTCTCTCTCTCTCTCTCTCTCTCTGTGTGTGTGTGTGTGTGTGTGTGTGTATGAAATGAAATATCTTCCTCTGGAAATATAGATTGATGAACTGGCCAAATTCCTCTGTTAGGGATTCTTCAGATGGGAAAAATTGCACCTCCATGCATAGACATTTTTATATATATTTGGAACATGATATATATAAACTATAGTTTAACTATAATGATTCCAGAGAAAAATGACATCTTAGACTCTTAAGAGCATGATAATAAAAGACAGAATTTAAAATGAAATGTCATTGAAAGGGCGAATGCTTTCTTAATGGAATATTTTTACTGAAATTTGATCGATTAGTTGAGGGGAGTCAGTCCCCATGTTCTTTTTTGAAATAAAATTTAAAAGTACCATTTGGCTAACGCTGGAAAAAAAAACCCACTTGCCCCATACTGCAGATGAGTAAATGCTTGTTTAAAGCATTGATTTGTGTGTGTGTGTGTGTGTGTGTGTGCGCGCGCTTATGTATGCATGGGCACATACAAAGAATTTCATTTGGCCTCTTTTATTTATGACTAATTCCAGACAAATTTATCCCAAGTTTTATATGTAGAAAAATGCAATATCTAGATTGCCGATCAGAAAATCCAGTCCAGCAGAGACAGGCCCTCTGATAAAATCATGAAGTCTAGACTATCTTGGTCAAAGGACTTGTAACTCTGCCAAAACAATGAGAAATGAGGGAAATCTGTTTTATATTATGTTTCCTTTTAATAAACAATAATTCAACTCATCAGTGTAACAACAGCAGTTACAAAGAACTTTCATCACCTAATAAGGAAGCTGAAACTAATTACTATATGGAATAAGCCCTTTTTCCGACTGGAACAGTTAATGTGCCAAACAGAGAGCACTTCATTGGTTAAAAAGGAGAGTTTCCAAACAAACAAACAATACTGAATAAATCAACATGATTATCCAGAACATACTTTTAAATATGCAGACTAAATGATAAATGATAAATTCTTAACATTCCTCACCAAAGCCAGTGTATCAGTAAGATAGCAAAGAAATATAGCCTAGAAAGGAAATAGGAAATGCATGCTTTGGCCTTCAGTCCTATAATCCCTAATCTGATTAGGCATTCTGGAAAGATTTGTTCGTTTGTTTTTTTTATAATTTAGCTTGTGTTCCATTCTAATCATTTACCTAAAGCAGGGGTGTCAAACTTAATTTCATTGAGGGCCACATCAGGACTGTGATTGACCTCAGGGGGCCGGGCGTGTGCAGCCAACTGGGTGGGCATGGCCATCTTGATGCCACTCCCCAGACTGCTGGCATGTTTCCTCTTTGCATTGGGTAGACCAGGCCTGTTTCCTCTTTGCATTGGGTAGACTGGGCTGAAGCGATGTGGGTAGACCAGGCCAAAGCCACGATGGCCCGATGTTTCCTCTTCGCATTGAGTAGACCGGGCTGAAGTAACGCAGGCCAGACCCTTACATTTTCCAGGATGGCCCCGCGGGCTGGATCTGACCACATCGCAGGCTGGATCCGGCTTATGGGCCTTGAGTTTGACACCCGTGACCTAAAGTATAGTTTTACTATGCACAACCAGGATTAAGACAACTGAGAAATAAAATCAGATAAAACAAACATCACATCCATGATGATGTAGTTCAAAATCTTTAATGATAGAATGTTAAAGATTCAGTTATGGTGTTTAGATTCTAAAGACTCTGAAGACTACAACATATAGTCTTATGATCACAATTGAGTGCAATATTTCCATTGCTAAGCAAGACAATTTTTAAATTTTCAATCTTTTTGCTATAGTTGTTAATATGAAATATGGATAAGTTACTTATACATTTTTGAATAAATAATAAATGTAATAATATATTCTTAGCCAAAATTAAGAAAAATGATAGACATCTTCAAAACTGAGGACCTTGTTACTTTTTTAGCTTGACAAATTGGTTGAAAAACATAAAGAAACACATAGACGGATGCTTGGCCAGCTCCTCATGGTAGAAAAATCTCACAGGCAAACTTTGTACGACCTTGAGGACGAGAAGAGGAAACATTCAGAATACATGGAAAAAAGTGACGAGTTTACCAATTTATTAGAACAAGAACAAGAAAGGTAAGGCATTTTTACAGACAAGTAATAAAAGTCATTGTATATTTTTGTATTTATTTGTATGAAGAATGTGAGTATATCAGTGATCTAATAAGAAGTCAATTTAACCTTATATAATATAGAATAGAATAGAATTCTTTCTTGGCCTTGTTTTGGACGCACAAAAAAATTGTCTTGGTGCATACGCTCTCGGAGTACGTAAAAGAAAAGATACATTCGTCAAGAATAATAAGGTATATGAAGTTAGAACTAGTTTGATGTAGAAACCATGAGAGTGAATTCTAATCCTGGGTGGTCTAATCCCTGGTGAATATGGGCCAATCACTTTTTCTTAGCCCTTGGAAGGAGGCAATGGTAAACCAATTCTGAAAAACCTTGCCAAGAAAACTGCAGGGACTTGTCCAAGCAATCTCTGAGCATCAGGCATGATTGAATGGAAAACAAAAAATGAAGTTAAGTTAGATGTAGAAAATATATTTTAGTTTTACACGATCATGTAGAGACCAGTCTTTAAAAACTTTTGGCAGCATTAATGTTTGCTGAAGTCTTTTGTTGTGACAATTTCCCTAGATCTCTTTTCTTCTGAGCTGGGAAAAGAGCTCAAGCAATCAAGACGCAAGGCAAGCTGCTGGAAAGGAGGTCTCTCTTTTTATTCCAAAAACAATAACAAAGACCCTGTTTGGGGCAGCTGGCGACTGACTGGTGTATTAGTGAAGTTTTTATAGAATGTTGAGCCTTTTGTTCTAGGTTTGGGAAGGAAATGTGAGTGTGATGTATGCTTTTATGATCAGAGAAACTAGGAGAAGTATCTTGCTTGCTATCTTTCTTATGAGTAGAGATTTTCCTGTGGGACATATGGTTCTTGTCGCTGTTCCCCTTGGATGTAGAAAGTTTGGGCATAGGTGCCTTTTAATTTGGTTCGCCTTCTGTAATCAGTCTCCATCTGCCTATGGTCTCAGCATTTGAGCGATCCCAGCACCTTGACTTCATTGTCTTTCCATGACCTTTTGAGGTTACTGGATATATTGTATCCCCACCTTAATTTATCAATGAAACAATGAATCTTATGAATGGAGAAAGATTTCTCTGGCAATAAGTGTTACTGGCAGTCAGCAATGAGCGGTTTAAAGGAAAAGGAAGAGACAGGGGTATTTTCCCATGGGGATTTATTCTAACTTAGGGAATTTTGAGGGGGGTCTTCTCACTTTGGGGGAGAGTCTAACTTTTTTGGGGGAGGTCCAAAATAAACTGCACACTTTGCTTCTGGTTGTTCATATCTCTAAATCATATACAAGACTCAGACTTTAATAAAATTTATAGAGTCACTATTTAATTAACTCTGGATGGCTTACAATAAAAATTACCAATAAAAAACCCCAGTAAACTGTGATGATCTGATAAACCAATATGAATCAAAAGGATCTTGATAATAAAATACAACTACAGAAAGTCAGACGTAGGGAAACTTTCAAAGCGATGTAAAGGATGGGAAGTTTGGGGCATTGTGAACTACTCGGACCCATTACATGACATTCTTTCAGAGCATGCCCATTCTACCAGATGTTCAGGTATCCAGGATCCATAAAATGAAGGACTTTAAAGGTTACAAGTAACACCCTATTTACACCTGGATGATCATATAATCTGTACAGGCTCAAACCCATAGTCATATTTTGTCATGGTTGAGCCTGTTTGTCACATACAGATCTTTACAGCCTCCAGGTACCACTACATATCTTTGTTAATATTACTCGTTCCGTTGCTTTAGATGTTCACACTGAATATAATCAGCATAGACTTCTTCTCAGCAGATGACCCTATCAGTGGTTTCAATGGCTTTAGATAAGCCATTTATCAGATCACTGGGAAGAAGACAAAGGTCCAGGTCCTATGTAGAGTAGACCAATCTAATAAGTCCACCTCCTTGATGTCAGTTAGCAGCACTGGTGAATCTAAAATAGTTAAAGTGATGTCAAAGAACTGATGGTGACATGTTAAAGTGATGACAAAGGACTGGTAGTGATATTGATCACCCCCAAATCACCCCCATAATTGTTGCAATACAACAACAAAGAGCCTTGGTAATACAGTGGTCTAAGGCACCCTGTTATTAAGCTGGTTATTAAGACCATCTGCCTGCAATTACTGCAGGTTCGAATCTCGCCAAGGCTCAAGGTTGACTCAGCCTTCCATCCTTTCTAAGGTAGGTAAATTGAGGACCCAGTTGTGGGGGCAATAAGCTGACTTTGTATAAATATACAAAAGAATGAAGGCTATTGCTTAGCGCCTTGTAAACCGCCCTGAGTCTCCGGAGAAGGGCGGCATATAAATCAAATTTTTTTTTAAAAAAAAGGCTCTTTAAATTGTTTACTTTGATTAAAAAAAAAAACCACAACTACTTTTAGAAACCACTTCTGGACTTTGCTTGAGGTGGCAAAAAATGAAACTGATTTTGGGTTTTACTGATTAGATAGATCTGTTATAGAAATGGCTAGTTTATACTATTATGAAAAAGTAAAAAGTTGAGGTTAGATGTTAATTCTTATTCTACTACACCAAAGGGAGCCGGCAGTCAATGCCTTTTCTTTCTTTTTCCTCTCTTCTCTACACTTTTCTCTTCCCTTTTCTTTCCCCTATTTTTACTTTTATTTGCTTTTGTATTTCTGTATTTTATATTATAATCTAATAAAAAGGATTAACATGGGGAAATAAATTAGGAAAAAAATCCAATTATAGTTCAACATACCTGGAAAGTGCCAGATAGCAAATGGCTAAATTCTGCACAGATGAAATATGGGATAGGGCTAGAGAAGACTTATTCTAAAGGCTTAAATAATTATAGAGCTTGCAATATTAGCACACGTGGCATTATACTGTAAAAAGTGGATTCTGTGACTGATTTGGAAAAGTCTAGGCTTTCTTAACAATTCTATGTCTATACCTGAAGTCATCATTCTGTGGAGCAATAATAATAATAATAATTACACTTTACAGTATGCTCAGAACGAGTGGTATTTTGAGAGGCATAGCAACACTCAAATCCTAGAAGTCACAGACTAAAAAAAAGTGCAAGGATAGGACCCCACAAGTAGCAAGAGGTAAAAATTAAAGAAAAATATCAAGGGAATACATTCCAGATTTCCTCACCCCTCTAATGGAAGATAGAAAAATGTTATTTTAAAAAGAACTGCATACTTTGAGAACAAAAATTAAACATTAAAAACATCTCTTAAGAGTGGTCAGGGAAATGCAATGGTCATATTCTCTATTTTCTGGACAGTTATACTTAATTCTCAATGTTGTGAAATCAGTGTCTATATTACTTTGCTCAGAATAGCTTCCAGATAGAAAAAGTTCAATTTGAGAATGTCAAAATGCATCATTTTCATAGCATATAATGAATAGATAACACTTCTCCTTGCCTTCATAATCTAATGTATACCTGTGTTTCCCCGAAAATAAGACCTGGTCTTATATATATTTTTTGTCACCAAAAAAGGCACCAGGTCTTATTTTTGGGGATTGTCTTCCATTGACACACATCGCCGCAGCGGCACCAACAGCCTTACCCAGCAGAAGCCTGCTGCCAGCCCACTTCTTCTGTGGCCACTTGTCGTTGCTTGTGTGTGTCGCTCCTGATCAATCTGGAGCTCTGTTATCATCTGCAGAGGCCTTTCCTGAAGGCTTCTGACAACGAAACAGAGGCCGGGGGCGACACGCACAAGAGGCAACAAGCATCTGCAGAAGAAGTGGGCCAGCAAGGCAAGGCAGGTGTTGGGGTGTATGAGGCCTGGCTGCAACTGTCCGAAGGTAAGTAGTAGGGCAGCTGCATCCCCCAACCCCCACTTAATTTTTACCCATGCACCTGGCCCCACCCCATGCACCGCAGAGTGGATGGGGTCTTAACTGGGACTTATTTTGGGGATATGACTTATATTGGGTGCACATGTAAAAATCAAGCTAGATCTTATTTTCGAGGAAACATGGTATACATCCTGGCACCACTGCCAACATTCATCTTTCCTACTGCATTTCTTAATTTAACTTTCCTACAGATAAGTCCACAAAGTGTCATCTATAGATGTTTTTCCCAGGTGCTTCATAGACATGCTGGACTACAATTTCATTAATTGCCATCCAGCACTACAGTAATAATCTAACACATCCAAAGGATGCCAAGGTAGAAAAGAATGCGCTTTTAAAAAACTGCTTGTTGATTATGTAAACAGGTTGGATAAATTCTCATAGATATGTGTTCAAATGCAATAGGGCATGTACCTAAGAGAAATATGGGACAATTTGATGAGATATCAAATTCAGAAATATTTTGTGCAATGTTGATATCTCACAGCAGACTGATTAAAGACTCACAGACTTAAAAACTCTTTGTTTCTAAGCTAAGACAAAATAAAATTCAGACATGTCAAGTGTGAAAAGCTGGTTTATGAAATAAAATATTATATTGTCTATAATGAAATCAGTGCCAAACTAAAAAAAAGATGAATAGAAAAAATATTTTAAAATAATGGATAAATATGTGATTAACATTTTAATAATTGGAAATGATATTTTAAATATTTACTGGTTTATGTCCAGAAAACAAAAACTAAGGTAGGATATGAAATTTCAAAAAATGCAATGGAAGTAGTCCACATTTTGTGACCACAATTGGGATAGGCAACTTGGTTATTGAGCAAATCAGTCACTAATCAGTCACTAAGTGAAAAATCACATAATTTTTACTTCAGGTTTCTTTTGTTTTACAGAATCACAACCCCTAACACCTGAGAGGACCCAAACAAAGGAAAGATTTCCAGAACTCAACTCACTTATAGTCCTTTTCCCCCACTCCCCTGCCCTTGAAATGTTCACCCAGTGCTGGGATAACTAGTAAAAAAAAATTGCATTTATATTCATTGGAAAGGAAGGGATTACAAAGGAGTAAGGAGGCACATAATAGATAGACAATAAATATTGAAAGTAATATAGGTCAGGTATTTACT